TGCCTGCAAAAAAGCCCGGGAACCACGGACGTGACCAAACATTCATTCCTCTTTTGTTTTTAAAAAAAAAAAAAAAAAAAAAAAAAAAAGTTTGTCAGCTCAAGCACTTTCCTGATCCTTATGTAGCCATAAAAAGACAATTTCTGACGGTAACTTAACATGAATATGTTGGTAGAAAACGTGTCCTGTATTCCTGTCAGGTTCAACGTTTCAAGGCTCGAGGGTATAATCCAGAATACAAAGATAAATCATGTTTCCATGTTTCTCTTCCACTTTTGAAAACATGTTTTCGCTACATTTTATACAAAAAGAAAGACTTACAAAAAAATGTTCATTTACAAACAAAAGAACCAAGGCAATATGCTCGCATTATTTACAGCCACTGTTCCTCATCTTCTTCCGTTTTGTTTTTAGAAGTAATGCATAGGAGATAAAAGACCAACAGGCATCTGTTATCCTCTCGCAACCGTTACTGTGTGCTGAACCCAAGATTGCTTTTACACTGGGTGAACAAAAATGGCAGACCCAACAACACTAGACATGTACTCATCATAAATTATTGTTTTTCGTCCCGAAAAGAGGTGAATGATCTGCAGATAAGGCATCACTGCTTATTGTGTTTGAATGCACGAGTGCAAAAAGAGAAGACCAGAAAGAAAGGTGAGGAAGCAACTAAGGAGGCCACTGGACCTGAGTAGGACAACATGCATAGATCTCCCTCAGGCTGGAAGGAGCGAGCAAACAACTCAAGCTACAAAGATCTCACCGGAAGAAAGAAAGAAAGAGAAAAAAAAAGGCGTAACCGAGGAAGAATAAAGGTTCAAGTGCGCTGCTTGGCTATTAGATCCAGCTGACCTTCAACTGTCTCATCTGAGACTCATACCTTCATCAGATTCCCTCCAAGTGTAAGAATGCGGCTACATATTTATATTCAGTCGCCTGAACTGTAAAACTAACAAAGGAGGTTGAATTCAGGACTAAATACGTTTTATCTAGACTACTATATATACCGCTTGCATATATAGCATAAATACACCGACACTGGTTTGTAAAATATGTTCGCTGGTGGCGCAAATTGGAAAACAATCCATTCATGTATACTCATGTAAAAACTTCATTGGATATAGAGCGTTAATCCTTAGTAGCAGGGGCGTGGGGCATGCATCAGTGGTTTCACTTCATCGAGACTTCATTTGAGGGGAAAAAGTTTCTATCTTCAGTGCCTGGCCGTAAACAGCGCCGACTGGATCTTCTTCACGCCGCCATCGGGAGTCGGAGAGTGCAGCTGTCAACGCGTGTGTGGGAGAGCGTGTGTTTGTGTGGGTGTGTGTCCTGCTTTATCCACTGTGGATGCATATTCTGTAACGTCACTCTGACCCCCCAATCCCCACATTTAAAAGTGGTCGATGAGCACAGAAACACAGTTGGCTCCCACCAGGTAGTTGGGGTCTCCAGGGAGAGACTTGTTCTGCCAGTTTTTGGGGTCACCTGAGAGGAAAAGGAACAGATGGAGCAGATGGTGAGTGATAACAGTCTTTTAGGTTCAATTAAACTGTAATGGCGACATAAGCACTCCCTCTTCGGGGTTGGTTGTATGGAACAACAACTGTAATATGAATGCATCAACTACTTGAGTGGATCTGCGGGGCCTGATTGCATCTCTTGCCTGCCAGCTATGCTTG